AAAAAAAAAAAAAAAAAAAAAAAAAAGGGGCGGCATGTCACTTATGTGTGTATGTATCGGGTGGGCTTGACTTTCCTCATAGCACCGCCGCTGCTGATGCTGATGCCGATGCAGCTCGTGCGCCCTCTCGTGGACAAACTAACCCCCCAGAGATGCACTTCCGATACGCCACTCCCAGCGCGCTCATGTTAAGGAGCAGGAACACGAGCCACTCGTACCAGTGGTAGGCGTGGCCAATGCTTATGCTCGATTCACATTTGAAGATCGTCGAATGGAACAACTTGTGGAACGCAACTGAGTAGTCTGCACGGGGAGGAGGGGAAAAAAAAAAAAAACGCGTAACGAAGTAGACACAGGGGGAACAAAAAAAAGAGCATAACGGAATGGGTAGACACTAGTTGTCTCATCTCATATACGTCCCGCTACGCACCTACATATGTACTGGAACTCGAGTTATAAAAAGACAAGACGTAGTTGGAGCCCCCCTCCTCCAACTCATATCTTAAAAAATGAATTCGGCCATAGTTGCACACTCGTGTCATGCCAGAGAGATCCCTCTGAATGACCCCTATGTCACCAACACTGGCATACACATTTTTAACGACCGCGGAAAAGGACTGATGGAAGCAACTCGTAAAATCATCATGCCGATATGAAAAGTGCACAACGACGATACAGGCATACAGAACAAAATGGCCAAATAATAAAACGGTGTTAATCACAGATGTGGAATAATGTTCCCCTTTTTCATTCTTTCTCACAATGGTGTTTCTAATTTCCTCCAGTTCCTTAATTTCGTGTTCATTCATTGGGTTAGCGGAGGGGTGTTTCAGGCTGCGTATATGTGTGTACGCGTGTGTGCTGCGTAATGTCGTGATTGACCCTCAGGAGGGCTGTCCTTCCTGGTGTGTGACTTTCCGTCGCCCCTGCGTGTAGAAGACCATGGTCCGCGCTCCTCTCAATCGAGCTTCCCACTTCGCTGCGCGCTCGCGTGTCCGCGCCAAAGTACCGAAGCCTCTGCTCAGGTGCGTACACGCATAACTGTGCGCACGCTTATCGCATCGCCAATTAATGAATTTCCGAGCCAACCTTTTTTTTTCACTCTGTGTGTAGTTGGAACAATTCTGCGACACGGATTAGCCATCATATTAGTTCCATGTGTGTATATTTGTGCGTGTGTGTCCAAGGGGGCCACGCGTGCGGGTAAAAAAAAAAAAAAAAAAAAAAAAAAAAAAAAAAAAAAAAAAAAAAAAAAAAAAATAGAACAGAACAAAGCGCGGAAAAAAAAAGAAGCTGCCCCAAATGAAGCTGCTCGAAATGAAGCTCCCCCCAAGCTGGGCCTGCGCTACAATAACATGTGCACTTTGAGCTTCTTGTAAATTGTCTTGTTGTATATGCACGGGATGGGTAGGAAAAATAGCGTTTTATCGTCTGCGGGGAGAAGTAAAACAAATGTTAAGAAAGGGCATATATTTCTTTTAAGGGGGCATAGTTACATCGTGGCGCCACCACAGGCCTTCATCCCCTACGTCCCTAATACAAATAAGGGCGAGGCCACTCGGTTTAAGACACCATTAGCCACAAGTGCCCCGTATGTGTACACAGTTTGCGTGCACAAGAAGGACGAGTCTCTTACGTCTGCGCGTTCTGGGGTTGAAAGTCAAGACGGGGCAATAAAAAATAAAATCATTCTTGTCGAACGGGTCGTTATTTTTGAAGGCGCTAAAGGCACAAGTTAAATTATCTGCACAGTAGCTAGCTAAATTCGTCCTTTCCATTCCTCCTTCCTCATAACTATCACCAAGATGGCTTCTTGCTTCTCTTTCGAACCCTTCCCCATCCTTTGCATCATTTGAATTTTTATTGGCACCCCCTTTATCGGCATCCTCGTTGTATGCGCAATTAGGATCAGTTTTTTCATTTCCTCCATTGTGAGCAATCTCACTCTGCTTGTTCTTTTTTATCTTTATATAAATGTAGGGCGAATCGTAATAAAATTCATTTTCCTTCTTGTGGGTGTATGCCCAATAGTCATTGGTGTTATGGATTCGAATGGCTTCTCCTTTTTGTACAGACAGTCCTACATTAGGGTTATCGACCCCTCCACCTTGGTTGTCCATTGGGGCGGAATGATCTCCTGTTTCCTTTTCTTTGGCGTTGTTCACGGTGTCTCCCTCAGCGGGCGCTACGAGGCCCAGCTCGCCGTACTCCTCTCTCCCACTCGCGCGCACACCACGCCTGTTTTCCTCGTCGCAAATTTTCATGAAAATGCTGTTTCTCTTGTGGATGAACTTGTGCGCGAAGGGCTGGGAGGTCGTCACGAATTCGCCTTTGTATGTTTGTATGGGCAGCAGCCAAATGCCCTCCTCGTTCCTGAAGGGGGTGCGCGGCGGTTTGCACAGCAGTGTGCACAGTAGTGTGGATAGTACGCTGCGCAGAAATTTACTCGCGTGACTGCTCGCACGCTGGACGCCTACCCGCTAATTCCGTCGCAGTACTTGAAGGACACGCTCAGGCTGCTCAACGGCACATTCATGCTGCGCGCATAACTCAGATACACCGAGTAAAAGAAGAGTAACGGATTCTTAAACATGGAGACGTTGTACACGTGTCTGCCTCCCCGCTGATCTGTCTTTATCAGATTTTTCAAGTAACTCAGCTTTTCCTTTATGTGCGCAAAGAATTCCCGCAAGTCGTTCTCTCCCCTAGACAAGGCGTCCCATTTGCGCGGCACCTGAAAGGAAGTGGAAGTGGGAGAAGAAGTGGAAGCGATGATTTACCCACGGGAGGCGGCCAAAATGGAGGGGCTTCGCCCTCACGCCCAGGTGCTCTCCCATCATTGCGCTAATTTTTTTTTTTACCCTGAAGGTGAGCAAATCTAATTGCATCTCCCCCAAGGGATCATTCGAAAGGTGGAGTGAGCCTGCCATTTGGACGAGGTGTCTAATTTCGTCTTTCATGCTTCTGATGTGGCTCAGTAGGGAGTTGTATTCCTCCGTCAGGTACTTCACTGCAAGGGGAGAGGAGGGGTGCAAAGAAAAGAACCAGTGGTGTAGGAGGGGACGCAATGAAGGCAAGCCCCGTTTATACGTCACACACACACACATCACAGTACAGACAACGACGCAACGATAGGGGGGAGGCGCTCAACCCATCCAGGAAGCACACGTACACGTTGGCGTGGCGTTGACGGCCTGCCTCATCGACACGAAGCAGGAAAACTCCTCCAGGTAAAGAAGAATCAACTGAAAGGTGTTTGTCCTATGGGCCCTGTTAATCAACTGGCACTCCGAAAGAAGCACTCTCTCGGTTAGAGACATCAGCTGTGCCCCTTCGTACAAGTATACACTTGTATTCTTTTTAAAAATTTTTTCCATCAAGTGCATATTTTTGCAGATATGCTCAATCATGCCATGCAACGTCTTAATACTGGTCGGCATTTGCAACACGTTGCTTATAACGGATGGACTGTTCCTGTTCATTTTACTCGAAAATAAATTATATACAAAGGAGTGCAGTATGTTCTTCGTTAGTATAAAGTCCTTGGAAAATAAATTATTCACAAATGTCTTCAAATGATAAGAGAGGAAGTTTTTACATTTCTCTGCGTTTTTTAATTGCGCCTTGTACTTTGCGCGATCGTCCACATGATCTCGTTGTGAGGCTTCTTCATGGTGAGCATCTAATTTACCCACCTCTGTGTAGCGACCGCCCTTCTGAGCCACTTCGCAGAATAGCTCGACCATTCCCACCATCTCATTCAGCAGGTCCACATTAACGTTTGTATTTTCCACAGGACCCTGCTCATTCAACAGGGAGAAAAACAAAATGGTGAGGAAAAGGCACCTGATAGTAGTATCCCCACTTGTTTCTTCCACACCAGGTGCATTACAAATAGTGAGCGAATTGAGGCAGAAGTGTAGAAAGTGCAGGTACTCCTGTGATTGGTGTGCAAAATCGAGGTTCAGCACTAGGGCGTTTCGCATCAGTGTAGGTGATAGACTGTCCATGCGATTATAATAAACAAAATAAATTTTGTGAGAGTTCTTCTTTATATACTTCTCCGCTTTGTGCATGTCTCCCTCCCCAACATCCATCATGACCACATCCTTCTGCTTTGAAGACACGGAGTTGGAAGAATTATTCACATCTATGTATCGGACGTTGTTGCTTGTTAGCATCACCGTGGACAATGCAAAGCTGTGTCGGTTTTTGTGCACAAGTATAACCAGCTTGTTTCTTTCTCTGAGCAGAGTGTTGAAGTATGTTCCCTGCTGCACGCACTGTATGAAGACTTCACCAGGGTTCTCATCATCATTAGAGCAATTGTGACGCTCGCTTGTAATGTGCCTTATACATTCGTCCCCTCTGGGTATGACCTCTCCCCCGATGATGCAAGCAGAGTTACCACCAACGTGAGAAGCGACGAAATGGCACAAATTCCTGTTAACCATTTCTCGCTCCAAATAAATCATTCCGCTTAGCTTTACGTCCACGTACTTCCTAACTGACAGGACAAACTCCTGCTTCTTTATAATTCTGTCGACTACCATTCTGTAAAACAACATGCATGGCTTAGTGAACTCCTTAAGTGGAAACGCGTCGTCTTCCTTTTTATTCTCTTCACCTGTATCTGTGGGTGCGACCAAATGGGGACTCCTCGTCCTAACATACCTGTTCCATATGTTTTTGTTCTTCTTAATGTGTTGCAATAACTTTTTGAATACACACCTGTTTGTGCTTCTCAGTTGTAGAAGCTCAGGTAAATAATACTCGATGGAGTCTTCCTCCTTGTCACCAGCTACGTGAAGAGATGGATCCAATTCATCCTCATCGCTGCTACCAGTGTGGTCGTGTGAATGCATGGTTGTTCCTTTGGCTGTCTCTCCACTTCTCACGTTAGCCTGTTTGGCATTCTTAACAGGCGCCCCCTCCTTATCACCATCATCATGCAGCTGCAGCGGCTGCTCGTCCTCCTCTTCACAGAACACCCTCTTCAACTTCTTCTTCTCCACATAAAGCACCTGCACTGATCGATCTACACATTTTAAAATTTGACCCTCCCTATTCTCGTTCATCCCATAAGCCATTTTTTCTCCCCACAGATTTGTCTGACCTTGCAAGGATTCACTTCCCCTGTCCCACGGCCCATTCTGCGTGAGGCTCTCCCCAGAGTAATATTCCTCGCCTAACTCGTTCTCCACTAAGCCAAAGTGCTCATCGTATATGCTACTCGTGTAGGCGGAGGAACTGTCCCACACATCACTCAAGCAGTTGTCTTCGCCATTCGCCAATTCATCTTTCCCTCGCTCAGAGGTACAATTTTCATATTCAAATAAGGGATTGTTCCCCTTATTTGAGCTGATCCTACATGAAGAGTCCACATTTCGAACCGAAGCATCCCCTGATGAAAGTGAATCGTGCAGATGCTCAACGGGACAGTCCCCTCCTTCTCCAAATGCAGCGTCCCTCTTCCGCTTCTGCCCAATGGAGTGAAGTACTCGCTTCTCCCACCCCTTGTTATAGCTTCGAAAAAATAAAAACACTTCCTTCCACTTTATCGCTTTGTAATAATACACATCCAGGTATATGCTCAGCAAGAAATTTAACAGCAGTGTATGTTTGCTGTCCACGAAGGACAAAATGTGAAAGTAGAAGAAGTTTAACACAGACACTTCGTTCTCTTTGCTCTTCCCTCCGTTGAATATACTCCTGGCCAGCTTGACGACCTTTACAAAGTTGTATTGGGGGAACTTGTATCTTTCTTTCATCATCCCGAGCGACTGGGTTAGGAGGTAGGCCACGTAAGTTAGGACGACCACCTGTGCGGTAGGGGGGGTACTAGCGGTTGCTTCACCCGTTTCGCCTTGTTCATTTCGTTCACTTTTGTCCTTCCCCTGTGAGTCTTCCAAGTGGCTGTTGCTCGTCTCCTCTTCGTCGCACTGCTTGGCGTGATGCCCACTGGCATGCTTATCTTTTCTTCTTGCCGTCTTCTCGAGCAGGTCAGCCGCTCGGCGCAGCACCTGGGACGGGGGGGCAAACGTAAGACAAATGGGGAAATATTTCTGGCCGCGAAAGGGCAGAAGTGGCACGATGCACGCACGTGATGCGATGCCCACACGTGATACGACGCACGCATAGAGTTACCTCCTCCTCGCGCAGGGCCCTCATCACTGATGGGAACTCCGAACCCGAACGTCCCTTCGCCCCCTTGTCGTAATAGTAAGCAAACAGGTTCAGTAGATTCCTCTTCTTATAATCACACAAGATGACATGGTGGTCCTGTCCTATCTTCGTGAAATCAATCTCCTCAACAGAGTCGACAAAGAGGTATACAGTTCCAGACCCCTGTGTGCCTTCATTCACAAGTGAGTAAATAAGCTCGTCCACTTTTTTGAACACAATGTTGAAGCTCCTGCTCCGGTAGCTCCTTATCTTGTTTGTGATGTGCGCGAGATGTTCCTCTTTGTCGTCGTGGCTCCTGTTGTCGCGGCTTATGCTGGGGCGGCTCATACTAGAGCAACTCATGTCGGTACTGTGCCCGTGGTCGGTTCGAAGCTCTTTGTCCAACGGGGCAACTCCCCCTTGGCTGTCCCCTCCAACGGCGTAAATCTCCCAACCGCACTGCCACTTCACATAGACGTACTTTTCCTCGTCCCTTCGGAACTTCTTTAAAAGGTACTTCTTCATTTGTTGAAAGGGGTCGATGCATATGATTACCTTCTCGTGCAGAACATCGAGCAGGTTGCAGTTAAACATGAGCATGCTGTCCCAGCAGAGATTCAGCTGCTCATATTGCTTTACAAATGTGGGAGGTAGATAGTTCTCCAGGTTGAGTGCGCTCCGCGGGGTCAGGTCACCCCAGGTGGGCTGGCAGCACTGGGGCGGTTCGGGGTGCCCAGAAAGGTTTAACGTCTCCACTTGCCCCCTCTGCTCAGTCCGTCCCGTGAGCTTCACCCCAGACGCATCGAGACTCATCCGCCTGTACTTGTCCCTCTCCTTCATGAGCAATTTTATGAACTTCTTTTTCTCCCTCGATTCCATGGCGGAGCAGTAGATGAACAGGACGCTTTTCAGTGGGAGGAGGACATGTGTCCTGCGCTCGATTTCTTCCTTCGTCTCGTGCTCAATTGAGAGGAGATCCTCCTGCATGTGTGTGTGTGGGTGGGGGGAGTACTATTGTGAGGGGGGAAACAACAACCGGGTAAGCATGAACCGGGTTAGCGGCACGACGTGGTGCCCACTTACCAGCACATCGCGCGCATCTGGGGGAGCCCCACCCACCAGCGTCTTCCGCAAGTCATCGCGTAAAGCAGAAATATCCTGACTGAGCTGGATCACCCCCTTCCGTTGCACCAAAAGAGAATCCCTCTTCTTCACATAATCATTAACCGAAACGATAAAAGAATTTAATATATTAACAAACTTATAATTAAGAAACCTTTCCACATTAGACACATTTTCGTACTTGAGGATGAGGCTCTTGGTAATAGAATCGATGAATATATTTTTAATGTGATAAAAAAAAAATGAATAGTTGAAGGAATTTTTAATGTAATTCTCATCATTCCTTTGACCAAAGTAGAGGTACACGATTTTGAGGAACCCTCCATACCTGTTCCTATTTTCCTCCTTAAAATGTTTAAAATCTTCTTTGGTAATTTTTTTCAAATCATTTTTGGCTTTATGTATTTTCTTCATGTATTCTCTGAGGGAGTTTTCCACATGGTTGTTCATTAGATTCATCTCCTTTTCCTTTTTCCTAATTTTGTCCCCTATTTGATGTACTAGTGTGTGTGTTTCTTCACTTTGGCTGACCAAGTGTTCGATGAACTTTTTGCATTTGTCCCTTTTTTCTAGCAACGGGTTCAGTTCCTGCTTGTTCAATGTGGTGTACACTTGGTGTGTCTTCTTCACAAATATAGCTGCGTCAATTTGTGTGTTAGTATGCCCCCTCCAATGGGGTGGCTTCACATCAGGGGAGGAGTGATGATCCCACTGGTGGTGGTAGACGCCCTGATTTGCTAGCAGTCCGTTCAAACTTCCACTTATTCTAGTGAGGAAACGAATTTCCAGAGAAATCTCCACATCTGAGTTAGATGCAGGGACCAACCCACACTGCGCCTCACTAGGGAAGAGGTACGTAGGTCTGCCCTTCACATAATTGTAAAGAGGCAAAGATAAGTTAAACAGAAAAATGTTACTCTCCTCAAAGTGGAACAAATTCAAGTGGACCACGTGGCATGACTTGAACAAATGTACAAACCGAGAAGAGTGAGTTTGATGAAGCTGTTGATATTGATTCGTGTAGAAGATAAAATGATTCCTGTTTAGTAACATGGGCGCGATGTAGTTTTGAATGTTTCCTCCAATACGGACCTGTTTGTGTTTGATTAAGCTCACTATGTCTAGGTAGTACTGGTTTGTGAAATCTTCATAAAGCCTATCTAGGTCTCCGTTGTGTAGTGCGTTGTCCATAAGGTCCATGTACTCGTCGTTGTGAGGGAAGCGACCTAATAATATATTTCTCCCATGGGGGGGATCCCCCACAGAATCTTCCAGCTTAGAACTCCTCATAGATTCTACCTCAGAGTTGGTATTATTATCTGCTTGACTCTCCCCCAGTAGAGACCTCATGGTGTGGTGGTAGGCTTCCCGCAGTTGCCCCCTAGACACACCCACGTCATCCGCTAAAAAGGCGATACGATCATTTTTGTATGCACAATAAATGGAAACGATTTTCCGTAGTAAATCCTCCTGTTCATTCAAAAAAACGATATTGCTTCTCCTCAAGAGAAGAAAAGAATTTATCGTCAGAACCATCCTTACAATGTCATGGTAGAAACCTTCAACATTTCTGTCCTCAAAAAAGCTACTTACAAAGCGAAAATTTATTTTCCCTCCCTGTCCTTCATCACAAAGATTCGATTTTACCTGAACAGTCAGCTTATTTTTTTGTTCACTTAAAAAAAACTCATTGTTTTGCTGCAAAAGGTATTTACTAAAACGTGTGGTGAAGGACTTTTCAATTATTTCTTTACACTTCCGAATCTGTGCATGTGAAATGACGTCGCTGCAGAAAATTCTATATACATCTTGTTTGAAGAAAATCAAAATATCATTTATATTATTTGTTATGTCTTTGTCGTAGAGCAGCAGGTGGTTGATTAGGTTGTTCATTCTACTCGTGTGCAGGTACAGCGTGCCTTGCTCCCCCCTGGGCTTTCCCATGACGCCTTCGAATATCTCCTGGATGCACTTGATGAAGCTGTTGCACTCGGTTATCACCTCTTCGCAGAAGTTCTGTGGTGGAGGGCGGTGATGGGTGGTGATGAGTGGTGATTAGCGGCGATTAGCCATTATGAGTGAAGAGACCCGCGCGCTTCTAACGGAGGAGGTGTCCTTCCGCGCCACCAACTTACATATTTCAAGAAGAGCGTCTCGATGAGACTCGAGTAGACGCTCTGTATGTCCAATGTGTCCATCTCCCCCACGTTGAGGACGAAAAAGTGCTGGTGCATCTTTTGAAAGTCGTGACACTCCTCCTGTGTACGCATCGCGTGCTCGCTGTTAAAGGTGCAAAAGATTCTGCGCCTCGGCAGGGCCACGTCGGTTCGGAGCTCCCGGTCGAAGAAGGCCTGCGTTAGGGAAGGTGGGGCAGAAGCGCGCGTGTGGTTATGTGTGTGCGTGTGTGTATCAGCGTGTGGTTATGTGTGTGCGTGTGCGCCGCGAATCATGCACCACTTACGCTGGTCCCCGCGAGGGCGTAGAGGAACTCCATGGTGACGCGGGAATCCCCGCCCAGGCAGTTAACATCATCAATGAAGATGGTCACGTCGTCCCGCACGGACCCCCCAGAGAGATCGAACGAGCGTCTCAACTTATTTACAATTCGGTGGTACCGAAACAGTGCATTGAAGCGGAAGGTGAAGTTGTGAAGATTTGCCCTCTTCTGGTCCTCCGCGTTCAAGTGGTTATAAAGACACATCGATTTAGCTGAGTTAGACCCTCCCATAAGAACAAGAGGCATACGAAGGTAGGAAGAAATTTTTACCAAATACTTCATACATAAAATGTTAGAATCTTCAAATAAAAAATAATTATGATTTATGAACAAGGCGTTGTGCACTAGATCCATTTTACTTATATGCACACTCTCCTTTGAAAAAATTTTTTCGTGTCTCATGATCTTATTCGTTTCAGCATTGTAGTGTAGATGCACAAAGGAGCTGTTCCTCGGGATGATCGAAATGTTGTTGATGTGCTTAAAAATGAATCCCTCAAATTGGGTTCTGAATTTTTTATCCATGACAGATGTAAAGGCGTAGACAAAGCTGATCGTAATTATATTGTTCAGATGATTCTCCAGGGTTTTTTTTTCTGTCCCCTTTTTCTCCTTGAGGGTTGTTATGAAATAATCGACCAAATGTACAAAGTGGCTGATCAGTGTGTTCACGTGGACGCTCACTTGGGCCCTTCCCTTGTGGAGAAAATGGAGGATGCCGTCTTCCCTCGTCACTTCATCATCGCCTTCCTCATCAGATTCGTCCTGCACTTCACCTGCCTCTGTAACAGATCTGGGTGCTTCCTCGTTACGCCCACGCCAAGTGCTATCTCGATTACTTCCCATACCCCTATCCCGATCTTGACTCGCCCCTGAGCACTGCAATTCGTCCGCTCTGCGCACGTCCCCTCTGCTAACTTCCCCCTCATGTGAAGGGAATGTGGACGGGGAAAACGCCTCGCCAGTGGGGTTGCCAAACGGGGCGTTTTTCTGGCCAGCCCTTCCGCTCAACCCTAATGTGCCACTTCCCTCATGCTTCCTGTTCTTCTTAAAAAAGTTGACCGCCTCTATAAACAAATCCTCAAATACCTTAACGATTTTTTTCTTAACTGTCTTGTACGTTTTTATTCGCTCCACGGCATGTGTGATGAAGGGGAGGAAGGGGACGGTGTGCCTCACCTGCACATGATGGTACTTCCCAATGAGGTTAGGAGACATTTGTGTTAATCGCTCTGGAGTGAACACATAACAGTGGTGTTTGCATTCTTCGTGTTGTTTGTCCATTTGACTCAGCAGATTTTTTTTCATCGTGTGGCTCATAATCCTCTCCACGAAGGTACTGTCCCGTACGTTGATCACACTGATGTGTATTTTATTCCTCTTCATCACAGATTCTGCTGCCCACTGGTTACACTGATTAACATGTTTCATCTCATTTGGGTTATTCTTTTTACTATTCCTTTCTTCATCGGTGGATGTGGGGCCCGTTTTTTTCTTAGTCTTTCTGCCCCACTTGTTGGTGCAACCCTGAGCGTTTTTCATCTCAAGAGATGCTTCGCTGGGGTTGTACCTTCCATCAACGGCTACCCCTGCCGCTACTCCCATTTCAATCGCTTCCTTACCTGCCCGTTCCTCCTGTCCCCCCCCAGAGGTGCTTCCTCCACGGCGACCGAACACAAAGTTGAAACAGTCCCCATCCTCGCAGTAGCTCAAGTCGATCTTCTCCACCGTGCAGTGATTATAAGACTTATTCTGTGCCACCCCCAAACGGTTAATCAGAGTGGCCAGAAGAAGGACAATGGTGTTTCGTCCTGCATATTTCTTCCCCACTAGCAAAACGTTTGTGATGTTCCTCTGGTGACACTTCATTTCATCCCTCTGGCGAAAGGTAAAGTGATTTAAAATTTTGTACAACTGCAAACATTTCTCCACTTGATATTTCATGAAGGTCATTTTTTTTTCTACCATTAAATCAGTTACTATGTGACCTATTTGTTCATCCCACGAGGGTGTTTCAGGACAAGTTTGCTGATGAGTCTCTTCCGCTGTGTACAATTCTTGCTGTTCTGCTTCGTCTTTTTTTTCTACCCACTTGAGTAACCGATCTCGCCACTCCTTGGCCACGTTAAACATAAGACACATGTCTTTTGCCAGCTCCTTCCATTTGGAGCTCTGAACAAAAGAAGACACGTGTTTGATGATCCCCTTGGCCAAGGTGTACTCATCGTATGATTTATTCTCACGCCTGACCATCTTTACCATGCGGAGTAATGTCCTTTCGTCCAGGTGCGGCTTCAAATATTCCTGTGGTTGAGGTGGTAATATAAGAGACATGAGAGGGTGCAAATGGAAAAGGGACAAAAATGGGGAGGTTAGACATGCGGCAGGTTGAGTAAAAAAAAAAAAAAAAAAAAAAAAAAAACTGGCGTTGGAGCCGCTTTGCACAAGCGAGCTACTTGTCCGCTCGATATCCTTACGTGCTGCTTCAAATACTGGAAGGCCGCATACGTTGAGGAGGCCAAGGTACGAGCTCGACTGGGCCCGCAGGACAGGACAAAAATAAGGAACAGAATTGTTAGTGAAAAAGGCTTGGCCGGCTCGTGTACCGACAGTGAAAAGTGAAGTCTGGTAACCGGGTTTACAGAACCCTCTTCCGAGTAGTACTCTCCAAAGGGAAGACATTCTTGCGCTAGAGATATGTACATAAGATTCTTTTTGCTGAGATTGAATTCACTTCCATTTATCTTTATCGACTTCATTTTGTTGACCAAATGGTTTCTAATATTGGCTAGCTGTTCATTCAATAGGGATAGAACCTCCGGTCGGTACGCATCTACTTGGTGAAGAAAGACAGATGCGTTGGAGCACAAAGTACAAGATACGTAGTTCAGGAGATCCCGCTTCTCCACTCCCTTGTTGTTAATTAGGATATAATGAAATCCTAGGAGAGTAGAAAAATTTTTTGAGTGAGTGATCCCGTAGATGCTGGTCGATGGCAAAACAATGAACCCGTTTTGAATGTACTTGTAAAAAAAGAACCCGTAACTTTTTTGGTGATAAAACATATCCATCGTGTAATTCTCATTCCCTAGCAATTCGTACTTGTACTTGAAACTGTGATTAAAAAATTGAATGCGGTAGGTTTCGTTCTCCAGGTGGTGCTTCACCTGTTCCAGGTGGTCATAACTGGTGTCCCCCGTGAGGGAGCCTTTGCTCTGCTCGTGTAGGAAAGCCTGCAACTGATCTCTCATCTGGGCGAAAAAGGTGAAGGTGATTTTCCATCCCTTGTTGCTTTGTAGTGGTTGGTCATTGTCTACTTGTTCCATCTGGTGCCTTCCACACTGCTTCACATCCTCACTGGGGATACTCTCCCCCAATGCACCATCATCACACACGCTTGAGTGTCTCCATGGTACTGCGCTTCTCCCCCTGGCCACCACACACGCCATACGGCGCAGATTCTCCGTGAGCAGGTAGACAACGTACTTGCTCTTTTGCGCATCATGAACGAAGCCCTCCCAGATGTGCGTAAAGTATATATTGAGCAGAATGAAGAGTTGCTGCAGATTTTTCATTTGGCAAAAGAAGAGGTAGGAGTCTTCCTTAAGTGGAGCCAAGAATTCCTTCCGAACAGCATATGCATGGATGTTCCTCATCACTGCATTTTTAATTTCGTTATTAATTTCATTTAACAAAAATTCTGTCTTCTTGTATTTTATCTCTTCCTTGAATAGAACCCGTTCCTTGTCAGATGTAATAATACCACAAATGGAATCATTTTGAAAAATGAATTTCTGTACATAAGGGAATAACTTATGAACATATCTGTTCAGACATTTTAGCTCATTCATATTTAAATATACATTTAAAAATTCTTCATCAGTGAGTAAGAAGAAAGTATACCATTCACTTCTTCGTTGTAGAGTATATCTTTCTACCTCTTCCTGAATAGCCCTTAGCTGCTTCTCCGTTTTTTCAAATTCTTCCAACTCATAAGTTTTTTTTAAATGTTTCATTATTTGTGGGTAAATGAAAAATTCTTCACACATTTGTTTGTACTTACTTACGATGGTAGACAGGTGATCCGTTTTTACAACTTTTTTCATTTCGCTATTTTTATGTTTAGCTAGCTGAATATAGCATGTCTGTATTTTATTAATGACTCCTAAGATGTTTGTAAAATTTATAATCTGATGAGACAGCTGGTACATTTCTGTGTATATATGTTTACTGAAGGAGTCGTTTTGAAGAACGAACAGCTCCGCAAGGGTTCCCTTCAAATTGTGTATCAGTTCTATTATGTTGTTGACGAAGTATACCTTTTTGTTTACGAGGTTAATGTCTATTTTGTTTTTCTTTAGGTTTCCTTTCAAATTCTCCAGCTGCTCATTCATTTTTTTTTCCTTTTCATATTCGAAGCAAATGTGCTCCAGGTCCGGGATGCTGTTGGCGAAGTGCAGGTGGAGCAGCTGCCTCAGTTCGATTTGCTCTTGGGCGCTCGGCAGCACGGCGGGGTTCGCCTCCTCTCCATTATACGTATCGCCAATACACGCATCGTCGGTAGACATATGGCCCGCGCCATCACGTGCCACCCCATCACGTGCCACCCCATCACCTGTCACCCCATCACGTGCCACCCCATCACGTGCCACGCCATCGCTTCGCACGGCAGCACGGCGCATGCTGACCCAGGCCACGTCCTCCGGCGCGGCCCCGCCCTTGGCGCCATTCAGCACAGCCACCGCCCGCTCGAAGTACTTGCGGCTCCCGCGCACCGCCGCCAACAACCTCAACACGCGCAGCGCGCTCTCGTACGTCCTGTGGAACCTGCTGCAACGCTCGTAAAAATGTCCATTCACAAAGTTCTTGTTGATCCTCTTGAAGTACAAATCTATGGCCCCTATTTCAGACGACACGCATTCTACATCCAACCGGAAAATTTTCTCCATTCGATATTTCTCGTGACAACACAGGTACTTGTAGTAGGTGTAAATGGCAAGACTGTTATTGAGGAACATATTTTTTAACAAGCTAAAATTCACAAATGCATTTTTCTTCTTCTTTAAAACCTTCTGGTAAAAAATATATTTGTTTACATCCTTCTGAACCTCCAGGATTTTTCTTCTAATAAATTCCAGCAGCTCGAATATGTAACAGCGTCTTTTGGTTTGTTCGTCTAGCACTTGAATTTCATCATCGGGGCCGATAGCGAAAAGGGGATCAGGGGAGCCACCTAAACCAGTCTCTTTTCCTCCTCCCCCATCCCCACAATAATACTCTTCGTGAATGTCCCCAATGGGTGTCACGCACCCAAGCAAGTATTCCATCTCTTCAAGCGAATAAACAAAATTGAAGTGGACAAGGTTACCCTTTACGATACTCAAAATGTGTTGTATGTTCTGTTCTACTCGGCCGATCTCAACAGTCAGCTCCCTAAACAGATGGCTGAATTCCAGATCATAGTTCTTTTCCTTGTGGAGAATACTTTTCATGGCATTCATGTGTTGATTGATGTGAAAAATTTTGGTCGTGTAATTTCCACTCATACTTATGTAGTATTTTTTAAAAAGTAAAAAAAGGGACGATATAGATTCTACATTCTCTTCTATGCTGACCAGTTCATTTGAAAATTTGTTTGTGAACGTGATGTACTCGACGAGCTCATTAATGGTGGTGGGAATATTATTTATAAGATTGAATGATTTGTCTAGTTTGGTGGTGAGCTCCTCAATCGTTTGGTTACTCAAGGATGGTAGGTAGCTGATCAGGTCGTTCCACTTTGTCCTGATGTTATTCAGAAGATTTTCAATGAGCAATGCATTGTCTACCTTAAACAAATGTATTTGTATGTGCTTGTCCATCCTCTTTACCTTACTTTCTAACTCTTTAAAAGATGTAAAGAGTTGCGAAATGGACTGTGTGTTCATAATGTCTACCTGGTGGACTTGAATCTGGTCATTCTTGTTGTGCAGTTGAATCACCTCCTCGAATTCGCTACATGATTCCACCATCGAGCTATACATGATTTTCATTTTTTCCTTCAGCTCCTCGTCCAGCTGCCGGATTGCTTCGTCCGCCCCGATGGCACTGGCGAAGCCGCTGTGGGGGAGCACACGGTACGGCAGCACATTGTTTGGCGGTACTTCATTTGGCGGCGCATTGTTTGGCTGCACATTGCTTGGCAGCACACTGCTTGGCTGCGCTTGGTGCTGCCCTGCATCACTGGTCAGTGTCGCCCCTCCCCTACCGCCGCGAAAAATCACGCTGTCCACAAAAATCTCGCTAGCGAAGAACTCCCGAACCTTGTAGTAATTAAAAAACTCCTCACGCATGCAAATATTTTCAATGCTCATATAAAAACACTGCATCAGGGTATTTATTAGTAGGTTACAATCAGGGGTAATTTTTAAATGATCTTTGTCCACGTGCAAAACGACGCTAAAGAGACACACTTCGTTTTTCGTTTTATTACCTGCACTGTTACTTTTACTATACATGGTGTTCATGCTACCTCCTACATTTGCATTGTCCGACTTGATGTTGCTTTCTTTGTTTTCAATTTTGATTAACCTGTATGGGGTGCCGTCCTTGTCGCGCACCTTCCCCGGGCTGCTTCTCTCCCTTGCGCTTGCCACCGCGGTGTCGTTAACCCTACAACTGCCACCAGGTTCCCCAATTTGAGCATAAGGGGAGTAAACCGCTCCACTGGCTTGCCTCATCAGAGAGGCTCCACCATTGGCGAGTACCTTCGTTGTGCTAAGTGTAATGGGCGTGTCTCCAATGACTCTGTTGTTGTTCTGCATATTCTGCATATCCTGCATATCCTGCTCTTGCCTAGGTCTGTCTTCTTCATTTTCATCCTCCTCGAAATAATTGTTGAGCAGCCCTAGGAAGTATTCGTACGTGTGTAGGATTATGCTCCTCAGGGTATCGTCGCAGAGGTACTGGCACACCTGTATGAAGCGCTTTATGTACACGCAGTAGCAGCTGCTCAGCGCGATTTTGTTGTAGTACACGTCGATGTCGACCTCGCCATGGGTGTTTACATTTACGTTTACGCTTGCGTTGGCGTTGACGCTGGAGTCCGCTGTGCCCCTCTTCGCGGCCCACTGGGTGGGGACTCTCGCCGCCACGATGGGCCCACTGCACAAGTCAGCGCGCCCGCCCTGCACAATGCCATTCTGCGCCAAGAACATATTAAGCGCCTTCAAGCTGTACTCACAAATGACCGTGGCAACATGATTGAGCTTCCCCTTAAGGAAGGAATCAAATCGAGGGAAATATTCTCCTTGAAAATGTGTAAACTGCTCTAAGCTCATGTTGTTAATGTTTGTGTCGAGCAGTCTGTACTCTCTTAGCTCGTCCAAAATGGTTTGTATCTCTACGAAGCCACTCAGGAAGTGTTCATTCAGAAACAACAAATTTTCCTTTATGTATTTTTTTTTCCTTTTGAACTTGCATGACCGAATCATATTTTTGAGGAGAAAAAAATATTTGTAGAGGGGGAACTTCCTTACAAACTTCAAGCTCAGGGCACTGTTGAGGAGAGTTATGTGATTCTTCCATTCGTTTAGTTCGTAAAAGGTCGTTTCGTTTTTCTCGTTCGTCATCACTCCGCTTAGCGATATGGACATCACGCCTTCTTCCTTCTTACACCCGCATGGGGCTTTCTCGTACCCTCCTCCAGGCAGGCTGCAACGTTAATGAAACAAGAGAAGAGACATGTATGGAAGAAGCGAAGCGCAGGAGAGTTAGAATGGGATGAAGTCTGATGCATGGGGAGGAGTGTGGTCGAACAAAACGGTGCAATGAGCCCAAGGAGGCAAGAAGACACCACGACACGACGACGCGACACACACCTGCGCACGTAAATAAACTCGTTGTTCTTCATGTTATTCCTCACAAAGTCAATCAACTCGATGTGGGTGGACCAGCTGTTCACCACGCTGAAGCTCGCCTCCACGATGTCCAACTTTTTTTTAAATGCACCCTCTTGCCCACTGCTCGGCATTTTCTTCTCGTTTTTCTCCCCAAGGGGGGGAAGCAGCGACCCGTTGGCGACCCCTCCCTGTGTTGGAGCAGCTCCTGCCAAGGTAGGTGCACAGGCCGATGTGGACACTAATGGTGATGCCTGTCCTTGGCCTGCGGGGCCAACTGCCCCACTCTTCTGTTCCGCTCCCTTCTTCCTACTGCCTGCAACGTTCTCCTCCGTCACAGGGACGTGATCTTTCAATATATCATCTAGCTCGAGCAACACGTCCATTTTTTTTTTTTTCTTTGCGCCGCCAGCAGGTTCATCCACTCCATCATTTGCTACCCCCCATCGGTGGGTTGTTCCCTTGTGTCCACTACCCCCGGAAAGCTCTTCTATGGTTCTTCTCTTTGCAACAGAGCCTTTTAACCCTTTGCCTTCCTCATTTTGGGGTCTATGTCCACCGTTACTAAACTTAATAACGAGATTTTTCTTCAACGAGGTGTAGTTCATTGTGATTTCATTCTCGTGGTTTCTAACACATGTGTATGTTCATCAGTGGAACAGAGAAAAAAAAAGACTTGCAATTCTTGCGGTCTCTCCCGCGACTGCACCTATACGTGTAGATGTACTGCTGAATGCGCGAAGGCTCCAGCATGCTTGTGATTGACCTGAGCATGCACATCCGCTCCTAACAAGTGATCACTCAGACGAATTATTTTCCCCCTTCTGTCATTAATTCGAAGAATAAACGGAAGGAATTATCCGCAGTGGGGATTCTAAGAAGTGTTTTTTTTTTTTTTTTTTTTTTTTTTTTTTTTTTTTTTT